ACATTGAATTGTGAATGCATGTCTGGCAACATTCTAATGTCGCAAACACTTTGATTAACACCTGCTGCCACATTTGGCATCAATTTATGCTGCGATTTAATGCCAATTTCAATTTGCATCAATAAAATCAAATGCCAACCACTGCACCAAAACTCAACGCTAACCGCACAGCTCAAATTGTTTTTGCATACCCTGTACATGTTTGAAATACATAAATAGGGTATAATACGTTTTGCAAATCGTTTATATCTATTTATTTTTAATCAAGATATTGCATATTCATGGTCCTGATCGAGATGATTCAATATCCTTGTATCACTCGTTCCTTCTAAGTCATCCACGTGTCGCTCTCTCTCTCTTTTCATATCCCTCTCATTTTCTCCATTTCTCTTCCATATGCCTTTCTTCATATCCTTTATCTCTCTTTCTTTCCCTTTCTCTTCACATCTCTCATATTCTCTCACTCTCTCTGTATGTCTCTCTCATTATCTCCCTCTCTTTCCATGTCCCCCCTCCCCCTTTCTCTCTATCTTTCTCTCTCGCGATCTCTCTTTTTCACCCTCAATGTCTCCTTTTCTCTCAGTGCCTGCCTACACGCCATTTCTTTCACACTTGCTCTACCAAATATCATCTTTCTATGAGATTTTCATAAATTTAAGTTGTGACTTTTGATAATTTTAGGGATATGTTTAATTGTGAGTGAGTAAACGACGGAGAGGAAGAGAGATCTACTTATTGAAAATTTGAGTTATAAGAGAGTATATTTATTTTAGTGTAATTCCGACCTGCGTATAGGGTATATTTGATTCGACTTTACACTCCCGAAATATTTATTTTTGTACTTTTTATGAAGACTCGTAGTTGTGTATATACTCTATCGTAACAAACGAGGCTTGGTTAAATTCTCAATAAAGTTGCCAAACATAGCAATAAAACGAAAATGCATTTAATAAGATTTTACAGTATTTCATTTCATTATAAAGTGCAACAATATTATTTGCTTTGCATAGATTTTAAATGAGGTACATATGAGTTTTATTTTTAAAGAGCATCTAGTTTCCCGCAAGAGTATAATTCTTTTTTTTTTCTCTCAAGTTTTTCTGTTGCTTGGACTGAAAATTGCCGCACAAATTGCGCAACTTCGCAGCACATTAAAATTGTTGGTCTACCCAACACTTTGGACAATTTGCGCGTTGCCAATTTAGCACACAGACAAATGTTGCCAACATATTTAAATTTTTGATATTTTTTTATAGGCACGCAACTTTTGCATATGCATATTTATATAACTGAATCAATGTTTTATTTATTTGGCTTGGAAAAACTTTGCCAATTTGCCTTTGGCTTTAGTAGCCGGGTTTTTGCTAACATTTGTATCTCTCCTTCTTGTTTTGCTTACGTTTTATAGCCTTGCTTTAAATAACTCATAAACCAGATGACAGTTTTTATTTCTAGCGCAACAGCAAAGTGGGTTAATGAGTTCAGTTTTGGGGTAGGGCGAGGGAGGGGTCTAAAGCGCGAGCAGCCGAGGCTGAGACCGAGCCTTATAAAAACAGATATATTTTTAATTTTTCTCGCATTTTTATTTTCTATGTGTTTGACTCTTAATGTTTTTAATTTTTGGCTCAATTGGGCTGCAAAGTTTTTTAGTTTTATTCGTCTGTTAAAACCGATTGGGGCTTGCTTATCTACATATATTAGCTACATTTATAAGCGTGAAAGCGCCAATATTCCATGCAATTTCCATGTGGTCGCAATTGTGAATTATTGTATACCCTGAACTCATTAAAAATGGGTAGCAAGGGTATAATGGTTTTGTGCCCAAGTATGTAACACGCAGAAGGAAGCATCTCCGACGCCATAAAGTATATAAATATATTGATTTTAATCGAATCGATCTTGCCATCCCCGTTTTCCGTATGTATGAACACGCCGTTTCCAAGCAATCGATACTAATATCCTGTTTTTGAGCAAATCTTTGAGGTTAAAAGAGCTAGCTCACAAATCTTGACATGTAACTTCTATAATCTCTATATATAAAACTGTTTGTCCTGACTGACTGACTGACTGACTGACTGACTGACTGACTGATTGGTGATCAACGCACAGCCCAAACCGTAAGAGCTAGGAAGCTGAAATTTTCACTGTAGCTACCTTATGTGATGTAGGTGCACGTTAAGACGGGGTTTCGGGAAATTCCACCCGCAAGTGTGGAAAAATCGCGAAAAACGTTTGTATGTAACTTTTTTGTTTACCATCCGATCGGCCGCAAACTTATTTTCAAAGATCTTTGTTCAAATTCATTTGAGGGGTGTTTCACACTTTTAGGAAAATCCATACCTCCTTGGTGGAAATGGAGGTCAAAGATTTGGTGGGTGACGTTTCGCGCTCAAATTCATTTCCAGAGATCTATAAGAAAAATTATTTGAGACGTGTTTCACACTTTTCGCAAAATTCAAACTTCTTCGGGGGGAATGCGACTTAAAGATTTTTTGGGCGAAGTTTTAAGTTGTGTCCGATTTGCTTCAAACTTATTTTCAAAGCTCTTCATAAGAATATAATGAATACGTGTTCCAGCAATTTGGGAAATTCCACTCGCAACATTGGTAAATTGGCGGAAAACGTTTCTATGAAAATTGTTTGTTTACCGTCCGATAAGTTTCAAAATCATTTTCAAAGCTTTTTGAGAACGTTGATTTTTAACATACGTTCCACGGGCAAGGCCGGGTTATACCCGCTAGTATTATATATAGATTAAGTATCTTTCATTTTATAACTATCAGCACACCCGCCTCCACCACATAGCTATAAATCAAATAATTCATTCAATGTGAACTACCCCACCAATTTAAACCACAATTTTGATGCTATTGTCTTGTTGAGATCAGACATCAGATATTAAATAGCACAATAAGATATACTGCTGAAAATATCAACAAGATCGATTAAGAAACACAAAAGTTATTAAAGAAAACTTGTGAATATATGGTTAAGCCGCGTGGCTGTGAAGTCTTGGTATGGCTGTGAGGTATGAGGCGGGGCAAGGTTGAAGAGAGTTGCGTGTTCGACCCCGGCCTATGGATTTAAAAAAAATTTATATTATATCCTAAACCAAAAGAGCACGTAGCGCGCGCTGCATTTGGCGGGAAAGAAGAAGATCCAGGGTATCCTCTAGGCGCACTTTTACTTTTCTGTTTTTTACCTATTTACTTAAAGTATTTATATATTTATTTAAGTTTGTATATTAGAAACTGTTTACATATTTATTTTGATATTAAATATATCGTATTTTTTTGAATTTCTCCATTTGTATATTTAAGTTTTACATTCCTCGCAATTTAGCTGCACCCCAGTTTTATGGCTGACGAATTTTCCACACACCTGCAAATGCAAAAATAAAAAATATTTCCCCATTTGACACGTTTTCTCTAAATGCACTTTACACATTTTTCATGCTTTTTTTCACTTTTACAACTTAATTTTAGTTATTTTCGTCGCAATTATGTTGTCTTTGTGTTTGTTGTTGTTGTTGGTTTTGTTACATTTTCTTGGCTGCATTTTCTTTCCATTGTTATTTGTTGTTGTTTTTATACCCTTGCAGAGGGTATTATAATTTTGTCGTGAAATGTGTAACGCATAGAAGGAGACATCTCCGACCCCATAAAGTATATATATTCTTATCAGTATCAACAGCCGAGTTGATATAGCCATGTCCGTCTGTCCGTCTGTCCGTCTGTCCGTCTGTCTGTTTCTATGCGAACTAGTCTCTCAGTTTTAAAGCTATCTTTATGAAACTTTGCAGAAGTCCCTCTTTCTGTTGCACGCAGCTCATATGTCAAAACCAGCTGGATCGGACCACTATATCATATAGCTGCCATAGGAACGATCGGTCGAAAAGTAGGTTCTTGTATGAAAAATATTTTTGTTTATAAAGTTATCTTTACTAAACTTGGTATTTATTAGTTTTACTACGTTCCCCATATATATGCAAAATCCTATTAAGATCGGACAACTATATCATATAGCTGCCATAGGAACGATCGGTCGAAAATTAAGTTTTTGTATGGAAAATTTTTATGTTTTTCAAGATATCTTGACCAAACTCGGTACTTATTAGTTTTACTAAGCTCCCCATATATATGCAAAATTCTATTCAGATCGGGCAACTATATCATATAGCTGCCATAGGAACAATCGGTCGAAAATTAAGTTTTTGTATGGAAAATTTTTATGTTTTTCAAGATATCTTGACCAAACTCGGTACTTATTAGTTTAACTACGCTCTCCATATATATGCAAAATCCTATTAAGATCGGACAACTATATCATATAGCTGCCATAGGAACGATCGGTCGAAAATTATGCTGTTGTATGGAATTTTTTTTGTTTTTCAAGATATCTTGACCAAACTCGGCATTTATTAGTTTTACTATGCTCCCTCCACTTATGCAAAATCTTATTCACATCGGGCTACTATATCATATAGCTGCCATAGGAACGATCGGTCGAAAATTAAGTTGTTGTACGGAAACCTGTTTTGTTTTTCATGGTATCTTAACCATACTCGGCATTAACTATTTTCCCTGTGCTTCTTAGAATCGGGCAAAGCACTATAAGCATTTTGAAAAGGTTGGGTCTGCAAGGGTATTAAATCTTCGGTGTGCCGAAGATAGCACTTCTTTCTCGTTTTCTTTCTTTTTACCTGTTATTCTTTGACTTTGTGTGTCTGTAGGCATCAATAGTTTGCGTGGGTGGCCATTGTTTTCCTAATTTTTTTCCTTTTCTGTTGATTTTCAGTTTTATCACGTGTTTGGTTTTCTTTTTCCTTATTTTCGGTGCCCACGTTAGTTGCTTTTGTTTGGGTTTTCTTCAATGTCAGCTGGTTTATTTGCATTTTCTTCAATGCGCAATCAATTTACAGAAATTTCGTTGCTGGGGCTTCAATTTGAAGGGCATTAAATGCATTTGTTCATAAAGAATTTAAGGAATTAGATTAGATATACGGTACATGGTATAATAATTTTTAATGCTAAATACAGTATATTAATATATAACTACATTTCAATATTTATTCTCAATTTGTTTGCAGTTCCGGCCGCAGGCAGATAAGTTCCAATGCCTTAGCTAGGTAAGTTTTGCTTTGCTGAATATCTGAATAATTAACGCTTTAGTATTAAAGATAATGTCTTGAAATCCAAGTATATATCAAATACAACTTACGTATTTGTTTTATATGAACTTGATTGCATTTTGATTCAATTTGAATTGGTTTGACAGTCACGGTATTACAGTCACAGTTTGGCAGCCAGAGCGCGAGATGCATTTGTCAGTGTCTTGGCTAAATACAGTTTGGTACGCATTGCATTTTACAGTTTTGATTTCATTGTGCTGCGGTTTGTGTCTGCACTACGCGTAGTGCTTGAAAAGCTTCAGTTGGGCGCAGATAACAGAAATACTGGCTTAGTACAGACACAAACCGCTCGAAGCTATTCACAGTAGCAAAGACTGCAAAACTTCAAAATAAAAAAGAATAAAATACAATATAATTCTCAGTCAAAGTTTAATAAAACTTGATAAACTCTTAAAAATTGTGCTGTTGCATTTACTTTTAATTCGTAAATTCAATTCTTTTCATATATCCTGCTACTTGTTTTCAGCCAACTCTACAGATCATCGAGTTTCAACTCCTCTGGCCGTAGCTCCAACTGTGATACAACTGAGGATATGTACAGCGACATAAGCCTGGAGAATCGTCATGATTACGATTATAGGGTAAGTCCACAGTAAATTTAAAGAAACAGTTGTAAAAACATAAGAAAAGATTTTGGAATATGTATAAAAACAAATTTTTGAATGTGCTGTAATACATGCTGAAAGTATTTTGAAATAGATTTAAAGACTTCTATGATTTTAGGCTCTAGAAGTAAGAAGAGTTGTTCGTTTCTCAAGCATCTTCCTTAATTCTCTCTCTTTCGAATCGCTACTCAATGGTTTTGCAATTTTTCTTGCACAAGCCGTTACAAAAATGTTAAAACACAACTTTTTTAAAATGTGCAACGTCACAAATCTTCAACTCTCGCATGATGTGGCACAATCTTTGAGATACTTTGGCGAGACGAGTATGTGGAGAAGGGGCGGGATGGCTTTCAATGTCTCTTTGAAATCGAGTGTCGATCGTTTTCCATAACGAAACCCTCGATGAGAAGCAAAATCTGCACTTGACCAGCGACAGTGACAAAACAGTTGGACAGATTTGGGGGCCAGCTAATTTGGCCATTCATTAACGCCAAATTCCAATTCAGTCAACGTCGCGTCATTTTCTTTAACATTTGAACGTGGCTGGAAAAGCGACTGCTCGCGACTTTTCACTTGAATTCGCCCGCTACAAAATTCGCAAACGTGTTTTCCCTCGTCTTTGTCTTTGTCGCTGGGTCTTTATTAAGCCGTGGTTAGATGCCAGCCAGGCAGGTGAAACTTTATTTGGTGTGGGTTGTGTTCGGCCCGCCTGCCACATCCCACCTGCCCCTTCGCCTGCTGTTTGCTGCCTGTTGTTATATAAAATGCAGCCACTGATTTGGCCTCCCCGGCTCGGAGAGATACAGAGTGAGTGCAACGGCGCCTCAAGGTCATTGAAATCGACTCGAATCGCAGTTGGCCATTTTGAGAAATTTCGTGCAAACCCCGATTGCCAATTTACTAAACCGCTGGGCAGTCGCGGACTTGGTGCCAATGGGGTCAGCTTACAAACCTTTTCACTTAGCCGCAATAATGTTGGCAGCGTGTTTTTCCTCTTCCGGCTGTAAACATCTTGTATATTAATTGCTTTATCATTAAATGTTCAATTTACCTTATTTATTGAACCATCATCTTTAGCAATTACAGAGCCGTCTTTGATGCGGACAGCTTTGCTTGATCCTTAATCGTGATTGCTTTCATGATTGGAGCTAATCTTTCTATCGAGATTTCCAGGAAATAGTTAACTATGACTAAATTATAACAAAAACACTTATATTTTTATTCACGTAACGTGTTCTAATTTAGAATAATATATTCCGGCTAAACCAAGTATTATTATCCATAACTGATGTTTTTTAATAAGGGTAATCGCAACATAACATTTAAATTTTAATAACAGCTTGTAAAAGTTGGTTATCATAACAGAGCAACAGTTAGGCATTACAGCTGTGAAAAATGTTAAAGTAGTTTTGGTTAAAATGATGGACTGTACATACCTTTATCAGTTAAAATTCAAACCTTTAACAGGTGCTTAACAGAATACTGAAACTGTAAAAAAACACTGCTGTTAAAAATTCTCGTAAATATAAACACGTACATTTTCCTCACATACTAATCATAACAGAACTGTAAATATTTTGATCACTTAAAATGCAATCATCTAACAGGTGCTCTACAGAACACAAAAACTGTAAGATAGTAACTGCTGTTAAAATTGGACTCATGTAAAAATGAACTAAAACTGTTAACTTTCCTCACTGACTTATCTATCATATCAGCATTGTACATACCTTAATCACTTAACATTCAATAATTTAACAGGTGCTTAACAGAACAAAGGCACTGTAAGATAGCCACTGCCGTTAAGAAGGGACACTGTAAATAGAAACTTAACATATGAATTTTCCTCACAGACTTAACATAACAGCACAGCAGTAAGAAGGGTGGGCTATGTTAAAAGTCAATAATAATTGTTGACACCAATTTGGGACTTTTTAAGAAAAGCTATAAATATGTTTGTACAATTAACTGACAGATTAATTTCTTTAGGTTTCTTTAAAAGCTCTATTTTTGAATATATTTAAATAAATGGCAACTTCTTTGGCTGCGGTATTAATTGAATTTTCAAAAATTCACCTCAGACCCAAGATATCCGGCAGGCGCTCTGTAAAAGTATTGAATGGGACAGCAAAGCGACAAAAAAATTCTGTTGTTATGCAAATTATTGAGTCGGTCAAGCGACAGGTGTAAATTATAAATTGTAAATTGTTTTTACCTGTCGCTGGTTGATGCTGCTGCTGCTGCCGCTGCGCGTAATTATTTGTAAATTTAAAAAAGCAAATAAAAAGGAGTAAAGACAACAACTGCAAACGACACAAGAGATGCGGTGAATGGAAAATGAAAGGTGTCCGCACATGAACAAAATAAGAAAATTCCGAAGGCAGGAAAAAACAAACCAAAAAAAAAAAAAAAGAGTGAAAATGGCAAAAGAAAAGACAACAAAGAAAAAGAATGTTGCGCAAAAATATCACGTACGAATCATTTGAAGACCTTTGATTGTTCTTTTATGCAACAGGCCAAACGGGAAACGGAAATGCCGCAGTAAGCGCTGAAACAGGAGCTCTAGTGCCTAGCAGAGGGGCAGAAGGTTGGAAGGGCGTGGGGTGTGGCTTGTTGTTGGCAAATCATTTGCAATGCGAAATGGACACCATTCAGGGGCGTCGTTGATTGTTGTGTGAAACTTGGCGTTGCATACAAAATGAGCGAAAAGAATAAGCGGGGCCGAAGGTATTAATTGATAAGGAAATACGAAACAACAATTGACAGCAACAAAGAAATGAGAGAAAACATAGTTGAAATTTAATTGCAACTAGAAATGGGAGCAAAGTCTTAGGAAAGTTGGTAGAACTAGATCTAGACTCTAGAGATATGGAAATTGTTCAAGTATTTGCATGCAATGGCTGTGCTGCATTTGGCTTTAACCGCATAGCAAAGACACGAACCACAAGTTTTAGAAGTAGAAGAAAAGAGAAGGGCAACGGTATTTGTAGTTTGGATAACCTTTTCCTCAGTTCCTGCCTTAATCTTTTTATTTGTTTGGTTTTCATTAGATGATGGGAAATATTTTTGTATATTCAATGGAGTTTCTTTAGGCTATTTTATTTATTATTATATTACGCATTCATCAGGCTCTACAAAGGGCCGTGGTCAATTAGGTCAGAATTGTCTTGGGTTTCATCAAGCGCTCGTCTACGCAGTTTGCAGATCCGTACATGACAAAAACCTGTTTTCTCTGGTAGGACTTATTCTTGAGTATGCCTAATGTATCTGGTCGCCCCAATATTCCATTCCCCAAGACAGAATTGAATCTGTACAGAAACCATTCTTGATGTTTGCCCTTAGGAGTTTAGACTAGGATCCTCGTGTGCGGTTACCGTCATACTTCAATAGTCTCCCTTTTTTAATTATTCGTAGAACTATACTATTTATTCATATTATAATAAATATTAACGGGTGTAAGTCTAGTCTTGTGGGTTGACTTACTAAACTCCTCTGTTCCAACTAGACTAACAAGTAATTGTACACCTTTGTCGCTTAAATTTTGTTCAACTAACTATGCCTCGTATAAGCCTCTGTAATGCTGGTTGTAATCACCACACGGGTCCTTTGTGGAGTATTACAAAATATTCTGCTCGGAGTCTTTTCTTTCTCGTATAAAGCCATCTATTCTAAATTATTTAGTAAGTAGATAGTCTTAGTCTATAGTCTTAGTTTTTATCTGTTTATGTATTTCCCCTCGGTTGGTTGGGCGGAAGGTAGGATGCAGCACATCGGGATTCGGACCAAATCGCTAATATGCCTGCATAACCTAAAGTATTACGGATAATTGTAAACAATTTAAGAATGTGTTTAAATTTTGCTCAGAAAAAGTCTACATTTTGCTGCTTGTTGTGTGCCTGGCATCTATATTAAATAGATTCAATTCGTTTGTTTACCTAATTGACTATTTGACATATTAAGTGTAAGGCATTAGGAAATCTGAAATATTGAACAGCCTGCGCTACGGAGACGCCAAGTGCAGTACCCACAATTTTGTTGTGGCTGTGGCAACGTGAAGCAAAAGGCATGTCGTCATGGGTTGCAAGAGAGATACTCCACTTAAATGCCGAAAGACAATCTGACAATTGAACAAATTGCAAATGCTATTGTTTTTTTTTTTTTACATACTCGAATGCCTACAGTTATAATTGCATAAGTGCGTCCCCACACTCGCACAATCGCACACACACATACACACACAACATGAGTGTGACATAGATTGGTATCGCGGGCGACGACGTTGCTTGGAAAGTAATGTGGGAGCAGATCTTACTCTCAGATACTCTCGAGACACACTTCAGTTCAGGGGGCAAGCAAGAAGTGGTGTGTGTGTGTGTGTGTGTGATGGGGGTGGGGTGGTGGGTTGGGGTTATGCAACTAGGCGCGCCATATAAATCACTTGTACAGCATCTTCCGCATTTGATTAACAGCCCCCCAAAACACAAAACCCAACTGACCTTAGCTAATTAAACCGTCTAGCACACCTTGCTGGTGCGTTCTTTTCTTTTGCTTTTCACTTTTGCTGCGACAGAGAGCCAAACAGAGCATTGACAATTAGCCAGAAGCGGCGTAAGAGCCAAGAAAAAGGGCGAACATGGAATGAGGCCAACAGCCAACAGCGGTTGTCCATTCCCATGGAAACCTTTGACCAACCTTTGAACGGAGTCGCCGTTGGCCACTGTGCCAAGGTAAAATGTGTAAAAAGTTTTCATTTTACAGCTTCTGTTCGTGTTGAATGGCTTTTTAACATTTTATGGTGCTTTGATTGCGAGTACAAAAAACGGAACGAATGAAAATTCGAATCTATAACTATATTGGACTTTCTTTGAAAAAAAAAAAAAACTGCACTGAAATTGATTAAAACTTTGCCTTATAGACTTGCTGCAAAAATTCTATAACCTGGAGACTTGTTCGTTTGTGCTCTTTTTATACCCTTGTAGAGGGTATAATAATTTGGTCATGAAGAAGAAGACGTGCTCGACCCCATAAAGTATATATATTCTCGATCAGCATGAACAGCCGAGTTGATATAGCTGTGTCCGTCCGTTCGTCCTTCCGTCCGTCTGTTTCTATGCAAACTGTCGTCTTGAAACTTTGAATAGATCCGTGTTTCTGTTGCAGGCAGTACATAAGCCGGGATCGGTCAGATCGGACCACTTTATCATATAGCTGCCAAAGGAACGATCGGTAGAAACGTAGGTGCTTGTATGACAAAAGTTCCAAGATATTTTCTTATCAATCTCAGCCTTTACGAGCTACACTATTCTAACATATCTGCAATAGGGAAATGTGTACAGGAGTATTACATCTTCTTTCTGTAATTTGTTTAATTTACTTTGTGAATTATTAATATAAATCTTTACGATAAATTTCTTCTGGCACCTCAGTTAATTCCTTACAAATTAATTATCGATGGATCGTTCCATCTACTGAATGTGTTGTTTTCTTTAATAGGACAACAACAAATGGCTTGGTCTTCCATCATATCGATTAAACAATTTTCTGGCACCTGCCCACACTCTCACACACACACACACACACACAGCCCGCAAGTCCATAGTCCGCATTTAAAGCCGGCAAAACATAAAGAGCATAGGGCAAAAGTGAGAAAGACAAATGTGAGACAGCCAGAGTATAAAACAGTAAAATCATAAACGAAAATCGATTTTTAACCCAAATGTGACGCTGACCCAGAAAAGCTGAAACACTTACAAAACCCACGCGACGTGGAACTAAACGAATTGAAGCACAAAATGTTGCAATTATTATAATTAATGCAAATGCGCCTGAAATGCGATTAAAAATTTAAAAAAAGAAAAGAATAAAGCTCTATGGCAACGTTCAAGAAACGTTTAAGTTAAATGCGGAAAATGTTTGTAGGGCAGGAATTGTAGCGACAGGAAATAGAAAATTCTTAGAAATCTTATAATATGTTCAAAGAACTTTAAGCCTTTTTTTTAAAGATTTTTGTGTATTATTAATACATATATTATAAATCTTGTAGTACGTACATATCGTAGATATAGGAAGATAATATATTTTTAATAGAGAATTGCATAGATTGATTTCAATACTCAATATTTATTCTTGCCCTAGTTTTAACAGGCATTAAGCTTGATCTATGACCATCTATTCATGTAATTTTTATCATCTCATCATCTTCCTTTTTTGTTTTCTATTTACTTATTTAGTTATTTCAAGCTTTAAGAGTATAGCTAGTTTAAGAATAGCTTTTAATTTGATATATAGTTATATACTCTTGAGGGGTGTATTATAACTTTGTCATGTGAAACGTAAAGAAGGAGACATCTCCGACCCCCTAAATTATGTATATAATCTAAGTCCGCATCGATAGTCGAGTTGATATAGCTATGTCAGTCTATCCGTCCGTCTGTCTGTCAGTTTCTACGCAAACTAGTATCATAGTTTTAAAGCAAGGTCCGTTATTTATGCGAACGTCAAATCGTATCAAGATCGGACTACTATGCCATATAGCTGACATAGGAACGATCGGTCGGATATTAAGTTCTTGCGTGAAAAACTTTTTTGTTCACCAAGATATCTTGACCAAACCCGTATAACTGTCATGCTTACATATGAGCCAACTTTTATCAATATCCTACGATTATATTATATAGCACTATAGGAAGAATCAGTCGAAAAATGAGTTTGGGTATGGCAAAATATTCTGTTGTCCAGCATATTTTGATCAAACTCTGCATTTACGAGCCTCACTATTCTCACATATCTTCAAAACTGGAAGGCAAAGATCTACAAGGGTATTACATCTTTGGCATGCCGAAGATATCCTCACTTTCTTACCTGTTTAGAGCTGAAATTCAAGCTTTACGAGTTTAGTTATATATATATATATATATATATATATATATTTTTAATTATTTTCTTTTTTGCTTAATGCATTCAAAACTTTTATTCCTCTCCAACTTTTCTTAAATATTTTTGGCATTACTTCATGCTATTATTAAATACTAATTGAACATTATCGTCTCTTTTACTTCCAGGTAAGCAACTACACCGAAAACCTACACATACTTAAGAGTACATATATCACCCAAGTTTATTATCTAACTTTGCTGCTGGGGTAAGTGTCAGACAATGAGTCCAACACCTGCGACGGGCACAAAGAACTGTTTTTGCCTATCAGAGGTAAAACATCGCGAAAAGAATTGGCCATAAAATGTTCACGTTACGTAGTTGCTGTTTTTTTTTGTAGTTGATTTCCCACACGAGGCGTCTCTTAAGCGAGGGCGTGGCACTCGACTCATTGGCTAAGAGCAACAACAACAACAACTGATAAATCCTACGCCTTTTGTTAGTTTTGTCCGTCCGTTTGGTCTGGGGTCTATTACGTCATATTTGGACTGTGACTTGTGCTTGTAGTTGCTTTTAAGCCTCTTTTTCTCTTTTCCACTTGTATTTCTTTTTTTTTTGCAAGGTTGTACAAGGCAAACGGGTGTTACATTAATAGTCAACTAGCTCGCGCACTTGCCGCACCAAAAATCGCCAACTTTGGACATTGTTGTTGTTGTACAATTATATATTATAAATAATGAGACAGTTACTAGCAGGCAGGCGGGCAGGTTGGCTGACTAGCAGGGAGAGTAAACAATTACGGCCTACGTGCGAATGAAATCACGCTGAACTTTTAACATTTACAATTAAAGGAAGTGATCCCAGGTAAAGTTATTTCAGTTGCTGCGGAGGCTTAACTGTATTTCTCTTTTTCGTATTAGGAGAACGTGGCGTATACAATTTATTTCAATAAAATCTTATTATAATATTTAAAAAATTAAAAGTTCACTTAAAATTGATTGAGTTTGACTAAAATTTCGAAATTCGATGATTACAATTCGAGCTGTAAGTGCATTGATTGCATCTGCTGTGAGCAAATGAACTAGCTCCGTAACCCAACACTCTTTGCGAACTTGTTCGCATACACTTATCTGTAAATACGAATAACCAGCAAAACAACTCTTTTAACAACTTTTATCATTTGGTTATCTGCATATTTATGAACACACTGACACACATACCCATATACCTATGGCTATACCTATATTGCAGCTCAGCAAAGCCATTCTACAAATAAGATTTTATTTGGCAATATTATGAAACTTGATAATCTTTGTTTTTATGCTTTTATTGTCTGCGTGTTGCGGCAGTCTTTCAAGCACGAATCGTGTTATTTGCATTTGATTAGTCAAACACTTGGCGTACAATTGTTTACTTTATTTAATAAATAGCAAATAACTTAAACTTGAATATAAATAGCCAATAAGAAGCAGCCGCAATTGCAACTTCATGCGGTCATTTATTTGCGTTTCAATTATTTTGGTTTTTGCTGCTGCATTTGTACACAAATTTAGTTTGTTTGGTTGGTTGCTGTGACGACGCTCGAAGACTGCTTCGATAAGTACCAATACTAACTAAGTAGCGCTAGGCAACCAAGAAGTTAAAGCACGCGAGGGTGCTTAGTAACCGGTTTCTCAAGAAGTCTCCAGATAAAGCATTGTGAGTTCTTATAAAAAGTGAATTAAAACTATTTTAGTTCATTTGAAACACTGGTTCTTAATAGACGATCTTTGACTGGTTCCTTATTAGCCCTGTTCTTTTTATCAGCTGTAGCTCTAGCACTCTCTCTCTCTTTCACTCTGACTCATTAGTTCAATTGGTTAATTTGAGCTCAGTTCACTGCATTTGTATGCACCCTTTCACGCCTCTTCCTCTACATATTGCTATTACTTTTGTTATACCTTGCTTTCTCACTACAAATATCTCTTGCTAACTCGCATTAGTCGCATTTTCGGCGACTGCGACCGCGACTGCGACAGCGACGTCAGCGGCACCCAACAAGTGAGCTATGAGCGCCAACGTCGCTGCTAGCGTCGACGCCAATGTCTTCTATGCTATGCTTCGCCCGCTCGCAACGTACGTCCGTAGACTGTGTGCGCTCAGATTGCATTTAACTCTTGCCGCGTGCACAACGAACGAAGCGATAACAACGGAAAAACGGCCGCCTCGCGTTGGCTGGGGAGTTCCGCTCTCTTGCTCTCTCCCACTCTTAGTGTGCGTTCGGCTGAGCGCTCGCTCGCGTGTTTAACATTTTGTGTTGTTGTTGTGTTGTTTTGTTTTGTTTTTGCTTGGAAAATGCAAAAGACGCCAACAGCAGCTGCATCAGCGTTCAACTCTGCAGTTGTTGTTTCGGGTTTTCCTCTTTGTGGTGGGTGCTAAATAATTTGCAATAAATATTCGGGCTAAAAGAAAATGTGCCAAGTGTAAATTCAATTTGCTACAACTAAAGATAAAATAAAATAAAAAATAACCAAAAAATAGTTGGCTACCTTTTATCGATTGCCGATTCATAACGAGCCTTTATCAGTTACGTGTGTCAGGTGGCTCGTCTTAACGTTTTTGTGTGCGGCTCATTAAACGATTATTCAATATGAAAACTGAGACGGCCACAAAACGACGCTAATTGCGGCGTCTGTTGTGAAAAACTTTACGTGTCTCGCTCGATCTGCCGGTCTATGGCCACTCAGCCGGCTAATCGAAAATAACGCTGGAATATTGCTTGATTGATCTCTAATTGAAGTTTGTGGTTGAATAAAGGGCTGCCAAAGCTGTTTAAACTAAATAATTGAACAGATGTGTTTCACATAATAAAGAATACAGTTCTCTTAACAAATAATGCAAGACAATAAACTGTAAAAATAAACAAATTATATATAAATTTGATAAATAATATAATATATACCATACTTTTTGGAAATATATATTTACCGCATATCTGTTTAAAAGTCACAGAAAAATTCACCTAAAAATTTTGATCTTGAACATTTTTATTTAAAGCAAAAACTCTTTACCCGTTACTTTCTTTAAGTATTAACTTAAAAGCAGTAAAAAACGGAAGTTTGGGGCAATCAAAAGCCCCCTTTTTCCCTGCCTTTTTTTTTTGGGTATTAACTGCTATAAAAAAACCCCTAAAATAAGTGAAAAACCTTCACATAAATCACGCACAATTTCAAGTTCATTAAAAATAGTTTCTTCTATTTTTGTTTTTCTCTGGCTTGCCCGTGCCCGTCTGTCTGCTCAAGCATTTTTCCTACCGTTAATTTTGTTAGAAATTTTCATTAGGTTCTCAATTAGCAGACAACATTATAACGGCACATGAACGCCAGACACAAAACCGGAACCAGAAGCCAATAACGAGAGGTCTCTTCCCATTCACAAGTTAAGTCAGACATGAGGGAAATCACAATCTTCCGTTGATGACATCAACACAATGACACGCACACAGCTGCAGGAGATAGAGGCGGGTAGGGGGTGTGAACGCCTCCCATCTTCTGATGATGACGCGTGACAATCGTTGGACACCCGCATGCGTGTCCCGATCCCAGCTGCTGGCTACTCACATGGTTCGTGTCCGCGCTTATTCACTTGCGCTTTTGTTAGGGGGTTCGGCCAGAAATTCCTCATAATTATGCGTTGCCGTTGCTGCGAGAGCCGCCGGAACGGGTGGTTCCAACAGTAGCAACAATTTATGAAAACAATTTCGTATAGCTATATAGAACAGGGCTTTTTGCAAGATCTATGCTCAAAAAATGTACAGAAAACTTTTTAAAAATGCTCAAAACTAAAAACTCGAGATTAAAAGAAAATAATTCATTAAAAATTTCGATTTTAATTTCGTGAAGAAGTCACTTCTATCTTCTCTGGAACCACCCTCGTTGAGCAATGTACCATATGTGGAGAGCAATTCCATAAGTACCGCGGCCCCCATTTGATGGGACACATATGGCAAATTGTTGATTGAAAGGCCAGCACCCAGTTTTCTGCTCCCCAGAGGACAGAAGCCCGAGCGCACGCAGATCGTCGTTGATTTCTTTGTGGGTTTGTTCATTATTTGTTTGCCTATTTTTAAGATCTGCCCGTATCGCCGGGGGTTGAGAGACTCTCTGCTGTCTATTTCTCTCTCGTATGCTCTCACTCTCTTACACTCTCTCTACCCCCTCGTAGTGCCTTTATCTGTGGCTCTCTCAGTTTGTTTTTGCTATAGTTCACTTTGTAAAAATGCCCGTGAATTTTGCGTTCAGTTTGCCTTTCGCGTTTCGCGTGTTGTAGTCGAATTTTTTTTGTTTGTCGGGTTTGTTTATTTATACGATAACGAATTCGTAATACAAAAAAGAAAAAAAAACGTAAATCTTTTAAATACATATTTATCAAATTTGTGGATATTAATGATTAGTCGAGCAAGTGCTGAACTGCGTTGAATTTCATTTGAATTTGTACTTTTAACGAGGGTGCAAAGTTTCCACAAAATTAAAAAGTCAAATTGACCAAAGTCGGGTCCTTTTTAATCTTAGTGATTGGAAAATTGCAAGTTTTTTCCAATTCAAATTCCTTTTTTTTTTATTTGCGTCCACTTGACATGCAAATTAAAATTCCATAATAATAAAAATGGCAAAAATCTCATAAGCAAAGATAAAAATGAAATTGATTTAAAAATGTTTGAAGCTCTTTTGTTCAACACACACAAAATATGCTTTGTATATTGTGTTGTTGCAAAGAAAATTTGCATTTAATGAGCTGCTTGCTGCTTATTTATGTAGTCCCAGCTCAACCCCGTCTCCTGCCTGAGAGGCCAGTTGATATGAAGGCAATTGTATGTAAATGTGCTGTGAAAATCATTTTGAACAGCTAATGATATATTTTTCTTTTTTTTCTCCTGCTGTTTGCTGCTATTGACTAAAAGTTGATGAGCAAATGTTGAAATAATCTTTAATATTCAAACTAAAGAAAGTTTATACGTGGAGTTAATTAAGAGATGGTTTTGTTAAGGCTCTTCCATTTGATTATATTTATTATAATGGAAAACTTGACTTAATCTAATCGTTTGTTGTTCTAGCAATAGTTGTTCTTAGTTATTCAACTTTAGTCAAACTATTTTTTCTGCATTTTGCGCTTTAAAGGTTCATTTGAACTGGTTTGCAAGTCTCGTTTCTTTTAGTTCACTTGAGCTGATTTGCTTGAGTCTTTGAGAAGCTATATAGAAAACTTGACCCAATCTAATCGTTTGTTGATTTACTTATAGTTATTCTTTGTTATGCATTAACTTAAACTGTTCTATCTGCCTTTTGAACTGTATAAGTTCATTTGAATGGTTTGAAAGTGTCATTTCTTTTAGTTCATTTGAGCTGATTTGCTCCAACCTTTGATAAGCCCTAATGAAATAATTCTAAGCGAGCTGTTGCTTTAAGGTATATATGTTAAACGAACAGTATTCTATCTTCCTGATCTAATAATAGTTGTTCTTGGTTATTAATTTGTTTAAACTGTTTATTGTGCCTTTTGAACTAAGTAGGTTCTTTTAAACTGATTTGCAAGACTCATTTCTTTTAGTTCAATTGAGCTGATTTGCTGATTTTAAACCTTTTAAGAAGCCTTTTGGAAAAATTCTCAGCGAGCTGTTGCCTTAAAGTATATATGTAAACCGAGCAGTAATCCATCATATTAAATTTTCCTACATTTTTCCACTGCCAGCCCCAAATAAAACCTTTAGATGATGTTTAAAAAGTCCACCCTAAGCACCAAACCGACAAATTCTAAACCATTATCAATCATTTTCCGCTGCGTTGCTCCCCTTGACACCGTAGAGAATTGACCTTACCGGGGCCAGGGGCGCGTTACCTATAAAGTCGACTACTGATAAGCTGGCCAAATGCTACGATTTGTATATGTTCGTTGTGTTGTGGTGTGTATTTTTTCTTGCATTTATTTTCTAGCTTAATAGGCTAAGCAATGTGTTTTTTCCATGGTTGGCGAGCAGCAGAGCATTGAATTTGGCGTAATTAGAAACTAGTTGGGGATATGCCAAGGCACGAATGGAACAAAGCCAAAGATAAACAGCGACAAGCCCTGGACATGCAAAATAATAAAGCAAACTGCTTTCAATACACTCGAAGAAAAAACGTACAACCAAGTTGTTGTCAGAAGTTGCAGTCGAGATTCTAATTGTCTTTTTAGACTGGCACAAAAATCATTTTACGCTCTGCTGGCTCTACAAGCTTGATGCTTACATAATGAAGATGAAAGAGGAACTTCAAGTAGACTTTAGCAGTTGCTGCTGCTTCTATGATTACTGCACCGTTTAGAGCGGGTTCTTCTTCTTCTACTGCGCTTTTTCTTACTGCAACTGCATTGAGAAATTATGCAAAAGGCAAGGTGAGAGATCAGTGTGACAGCAAACAGCTGTTGTCTGTCTCCCTGACAGCCCTCCACATTGGGAAACGAGGTTACCAAAGTTTTTATGTATGTGTGTGTGTGTGCATGTTGGCCAAGTTCTAGAAAGGGCTCAGCGTGTGGGCGTCGCAAAGGCTTTTGTGTAATGGACATGGCAAAAATGTTCTCTACCATCAGACAATGAGTTTCAAAACTGGCGCAAATCCATGTGGTTGTTCTGCGAATGTGTAAATGGATGAGCTTGTTAGGATTTAATGCGGTTAAATTGCTTTCCTGGTAGAGTTGGTCGATTCGAAAGTAGAACAGCTGTGGATTATGACAATGCCTTCAAATTGTAACAGCCAACTATCTACTTTGAGCTGGGCCAAGTAAGCTTTACTCAGCCTTTCAATTGGGCTAAATTATGTCAACGCCGGGCGGGATGAGAACATATGTAAACATTTTTGTTTAACTTTTAAAAAGTTGTTCTAGTTACTCATATGTTTTAACAATTACTTGATCACATTTATTGAGCTGTGAATATTTGTTTTTGTTAGCTATTGTTGCAGCTTTTCGTATATAAAGACTAATTTGTTTAATAGAATATATCTATTATTTACGTACAAGTTTTCTTCTGTTTCACTGAAAAGCTAAAAGCTTGGTTAGCTCTAATTCAATAAATTAATGTAATGTGCTGCCAATTTAAAGTATGTTTTTTTTAAGAAAAACATTTTCGGCTTAGTCTTTCTATATGTAAATGCTTATAAATGAGTTTGGCATACATTGGAATGTCCATTAATGAATTCAATTCAATAAAATACACCCAGCCAAATTTCTTTTGTGATTTTTTTGTGTGTGGGCAGCAACCTTAAGAAAGCTGTAAAACTCAAAGTCACATCATTATGATTATAGTTTTTGGTAAATATCATTTTCATTTTCACGACATGCACGTTGCACGTTCTGTAGGTGGGTCATTAACTTAATTTTCATTGTCTGAAAGCGTGAGCGCCCGCAACTGCAACTGCAACTGCAACTGCAACTGCAACAACAACAACAGCATCTGCACCTGCAGCCTGTCGAGGGCCAGCCACAAATCAATGTGCATGAAAGCATCATAAAAATGTCTGCAGCTCATCTCACATTGAATATCACGCATACGCCACCGATTTATCGATTATGCTATGTTTATAAATGGCCGCCCATTAAAGCGGCTGCAGCTGATGAAAAACAAACACCAAATCTTGTTTTTTCTTACGCGTTTACTTTGCAGTAAATTTACTGCGCTTTTCTGGAGAAATGCTTAAAATTAAAAACCAAAAGAAAAAAAACACAGTGAAAAACTTGGCGACAGAGCTTAAATTGTTGTTGTGACTGGTGAAAGTTGTTGTTGTTGTTGGCTTTGCTGCTGCTGCTGCAATTTAGCAGAAACAAGTGCACAAATCAATGAAATTTGTGGTCAAGTTATTGGCAAAGCACTTGACATTTTGTTTAAGAGATATACCTAACTTTATGGGTTGTACAAAATTCACAAATAGATAATCAAATGTATATATAATACTTACAATGCCGGGAAAGCAAGGATATATTCGGCACGCCGAAGATTAAATACCCTAGTAGATATTTCCCTCTTTTGCAGATTTGTAAGAATAATAATGCTCGATAATGCTGAGTTGCAGCTGTCTGATGTACTGGTCCGATGTTGATAAGATTTTGCGTATATGTAGGGAGCATAGTGATAAATGCTGAGTGTGGGAAAGATATCTTGATATAAGGTTTCAATACAAGAGCCTGCTTTTCGACCGAGCGCTCCTATGGCAGCTATATCATTTAGTGGCCGGTTCCAATATATGTACTGTCTGCAACAGAAAGACGCATCTATGCAAAGTTTCAAGATGAAAGCTTTAAGACTGAGAGATTAGTTCGCATAGAAACAGACTCCCGGACAGATGGGCATGACTATATCAACTTATGTGACACATTTCATGAGAAAATTCACTGTGCCGTCTACAAGGGTATAAAATTAAAATAAGGTTTAAATAGGGAGTTAATTGAGCATTAAGTTAATTGCAACAGCTTAAAAAGGTGTACAATTCAATTAAGTTAGAAAATTAGAGCGGCAAATTGCATTGAAAACAGTTTTCTTTCAAAGTACCTTTAGATGGGCATTAAATAAATGTAAATCTGCTTTGCATTCTTTTTATTTCATTAAAGAAAAAATTCTTAAAATTTTGCTATACTTAACACAATTCTGGGTTTGTCCGCACATCCCGAAATGTTCTGAATATTTGCGCAGAAAATAAATGAGAATTTATTATGGCCGCCACTTAAAATCATTTGACATGCACAATTGTGCGATTCCTCTAGCCGAAAGGCTGCGGCGCGCTCTTCATTTTGTGCTTTTGTGTGAATCATGCACAATTTATTATAAACAATTTAAGACAAATTTAAGACTCATGCACAACATGACACATTTTCTTATTTCTTGAATTGAATCATCAAGAACATTTATGAGCACAAGTTGGATTTGTTGGAAAAACAGCTGCAAAGCGCTGAAAAACCTAAAAGATGCCCCAGAGGGATCATCGGAATATTATGCAATGCAATAAGACTGGGGCTGGGGCAAGAATTGCAGCATTGCATGCTCCACTAAACAGCGCAAAAGACTCTCTGCGAAGACCCGCTGTAAAGTCTTCTGTGTTTCTTTATCTGCACGAAGTTCATCAATTCAGGCTGGAAATTAAACACAGAAGAAGACTCTCCAAACCGAGCGCAGACCAAACTCAGTCGTGTAGAAAGAGGCGTGACCAGAAGAATGCTACGAGCAGGGGGCGGAGAGTGGGTTGGGGGGGTAGGGTCTGGTACCCCGAAGAACTTGGATCTTATGACTTTTGTTTGTCTGCGCGCGCGCGCATGATATACTGGCAAAAACATTGGAGAAGAAAAATTCTTGAATGCCATTCGCCAGTTTTCCTTTGTTTGATTATTTTGCATTCATATTGTGCGCAGTTACTGCAACTGCTGCGGCTTTTACTGCTGCTGTGTGGGCCCCCGAAGCTATTGCGCTGGATGGTGGAATCCGGAACAGTTTTTACCTTTCAATTTGTTTGGCCCCGAGCTTGATTTTCATCTTGAGAAGGTCTCTTCGGTCCTCTTCGGTTCTCTAATATCGTTTAAATTACCGCACAGTCTAATACAAATTAAAAATACCTCTGGCAATTGTTGTTCGCACCTGCTGCTGATTGTTCTTTCGGGTTGAAGGAACTCATTAGGGAAATATGCGTGCGCATTGCTCTATAATGTTTTATAATGCGTGGATTTCTTGAATTTTACGCCACAAGTTGGTCAGCGGAGTCTAATTGCTGTGAGAGTTGACTTCAACATAATTGTTGTTTCTGTTTCTTTGGAGCTGCGCTGCTCTAAGTAGAAAATTCATATCAAATTCTGAGAAAAACTGCCCAAAGGCAAACTTTTATTCAACCAATAAACATACCAAGAGAGTTTGGCAATAAAAACAAATATAGCAAAAATAATTAAACTATTTTGTTTGTGTAAAATAATTAAAAAAAAATATAATTTAAAATTATGTGATTGCATATAACAAAAAAATAATATAACATTTATTTAAAAATAGCAAAGCAAAAATATGCTAAAGTCTATCGAATAGTTCTTAATTGTATTTAAATTTAATACGTTTTTATAGTGTGCAACAATGCACAGAAAAGTGCCCAACAAGTTATAAAAAATGTTAAAAACACAAGAACCTAAAGTCTAAATATCCCAAAAATGTGCCTTAAATATTGAAGTAAAACAAATACTGACTGCAACAACAAACATCAACAACATCAACAAAAATCAACCCATACAGCAAGTGTGAATACCCAACGCCCAGTGCCACGCCCCTGACTAAAAAATACATAAGCCAAAAGAAAAAAACACATCAAAATCAAAAAACAAAACAAAATTCGTCTAAAAAAAACTCGAACAAAAAAATCATGAGTAGTCAACCTGCCAGCCAGCCCGATAGCATTGACTTAGCCTATGATATGTGGGCGGGTCAATTCGAATTTGTCGGACCCACAGCGAATGCAGCAGCAACAACAGCAATAAATCACAAAAGCAGCGCACTGAACAACAACAATAACAACAACAATTGCGTGAAATTTGGCAGTGAGAGGAGCGCTAGTCAAGATCTTTCGTCAGCGGACAGTCTGGAGGATTTGAATTTGAATTTCAACACGAGCTCCACGCAGAATCCTCTGTGCAACGCCTACAGTTTGGGCGTGGGTGTGGGCGTGGCTGGGCAATATCCTGGCTTTGGCAAGCAGCCCATACTGTTCGATCAGGAGACGTTTCTCAGCCTCAATCCGGCTGATTTTGAGAATATTGTGCCATCCGATTCGGAGCCTAATTCGCTGGTGTTCATCGAAAACAAACTCGAAACGAACAACAATAGTTTGGAATCGAATAATAATAATAACAGCAACAGCAATAATAATAATAATAAAATATACAATTTGGAAACGTTGACAAGTAAATTCAATAATAAGACAAACAATACGAATACAAACGGTTTCAAATTGGAAAACCTTAAGAACTTCAAGAACAAATTGCTCTGTGATTTTGAGGAGAACGGCAACGGGGGAGCCGCAAACGGCACAAACAGCAAAATGAACGGCGCCCTCAGCGCGGAGATTTGCGATAATTTCAACGAGCAAGTAAGCAAAACCCTCCACAATCTGACCAGAATAGCTTCTTTAATATTACATGTAATATGTCCGATGCAATTGCATTAAACGTTCCCCTTTCCATCATTGCGGGTAATTTAATTGTGTGGCTATTCCAAATGTTTAGGGTTGCGTGGAACCCAAACTGAATTCGCATGCCAGAGGGTATATACTAGTTATTGTCTCTAGTCTCTAGTATAGCATGTCAATAATGTCAATTTACTATAAAAAAGCGCCGCTGTCAAGTCAGATAGTTTAGTCGACCTCTGGATTGTTTCGTGAGAACTACTAAAATATATATGTGTAAATATATGTGTAAAAAGTCAACCGATTTATGTGAATTTTATTTAAATAGTTGCTACGACTTGAACTAAAATGCTGGAAACAAACGATGTAAGTGTTGAAAAGGCAAAATTTGAAGAAAACACTAGCACCAGTGTTGGAAAGTTGTTTATATGTACTAATGCAGTAATGTTGGAAAGGCATATATAAATAAATGCAGTAGTGTTATAAAGGCGTATACAAACATATACAAGTGTTGGCAAAGGGTAAAGCAAATATTTGTGATGGAAATATAAAGGCATGCAAATCCTGAACAAATTGAGGCCAGTGTTGATCAACTTATCAAATATTGGCGAATATACCTATTTCATTTCCATTTTCAAGCTCAAAAACATTTGCTTAGTGCCCAATTATCTGTAATGTTTTTTTCAAATTGTTTACACATTTCCTTGACATATTTACCTTAAAAAAAAAAACTAAATTTAAACAAACACGGTTCTTTTCTTGTTTTTATAGAATATTTTTGTGTAAATTGCAAACATCTGCCGAAAATAAACAGAAAACACATAAATTATCTTTCGTAGAGTCCGAGAAATGCGTCAAATGAGATCAGCTGCTGAGAAAAGAAAAGAAAAAAAATTAGAAAAATGTAAGACAAATTAGAAATTCCCTAAAAATAAAAACAACTTTGATGAATGAACCTAAAATAAATGAATGAACCGAAACTTAACCAAACGGATGATTAGTGTGTAAAAATGTGTCAACGAAAGTAACCGAGAAATGAGAAACGGGAACAGAAGCGTCTTCTGGGCTCTTAAGTTTCTAAAACAGATTAATCTGCTGCAGTGCGAGAGAGCTAATGCGATTGCAACAGTTGAGGGGAAATTAAATGAGGCATATTGAGATATATGTATGTAGCTAGCTGGAACATGCACTTTTCCCAGTCTGCGGCACCATGGGGTACACACGGCGCTAGCTGAGAATTCGACATGCAACTAATTGCATGATGCAATTTTCCAGTTTTATGCATGACTACAGCACTCATTCCTCACTCCCATTGAAGCCTATTGGGGTCTGCTAATTGGGCATACAGCTGTGAATGCGAGCATGTTATTAATCAAGAGCAAAACTCTCGTATGCTCTCAACAGTCTTCACAAGCAACAAGCCCTGGAGGTCGCTGGTGCTCCGATAAGACAGCAAACGGATGCTTCTTCCAGCGTCCACTTGTTTACTATATGCTCCATCGTATGCCTGATATATGGTAATCGGAACGGACTCGCGTTTGATAAATGTAACAAATGGGATCATTGTGTTGCCAGCGGAAAAGTGTTGCAAGTGTTTCTTTGTTTGTTGTTCCAAATCTTTTGAGGTCAAAGCTAATGCTGACTTTGATGGGCTGTGGTTCAAAGTTGTTCAATTGAAGTTTATGAGCTGCCAATGTGTGGATAATGGGCAATAAGTGAGGGAGGTTATTATAAATCAATATTTTTAAGAGCTGTTGTATGGATTGATATATGTTTAATAAGAGTTTCGGAAGGCTTACTGAATCTTTTTGGCTGACATAATTAGTCCCAGACTTAAAAGAAAAGTTGAAGAAAAGATTGAGCATCAGCTAATATTATTGAAAGGCTTTAAGAATCATGTGTTAAGTCTGTTCAATATGTCACTCAATTTCATATAGCAATCCCTTCGATTTTGTTCGACAAATATCATCAACTTGTTCAGCCGTCTGCCTAATGCATTTTCCTAACCTTTGCCAGCTGTATTTCTTTTGCTGCGCACTCTTTTCATTATTGAGTGCCCATTTCCCCCCACCATTATGTCACCTGTCACATTGTGAAAACTTTCCAGTTCACAGTTTCCTCTGCTGCCAGTGTTGAAATATAACAAAATGTCTACAGGGTGTTTCATGCAGACCGCATTGACCCTCGGGCGCTAACTTGGCTGACTTTTTTTGATGGGCTGCAACAAAAGTGACAAGAAAACGTGTAGCATATAGAAATTGCTACCTGCACTTCCCCTCTGCTTCCCCCACCCCCTTCTCTCACTCTCTCTCTCGCACATACACTCTGCTTTTCCTGTTTAACAACGGCACTTGTTACTTAATGCGTCTGCTTGGATTTTTTTTATTATTTTCTTTTTATGTCTAGTACATTTTTTTTATGGCTTGTACTTTTTGTTTATTTTGGCCAACGGTTTTTGTTTTTGTTACCCCTCCCCCCCCTCTCTTTTCTGTAGAATTTCAATTAGATTCTAGTTTTGTGCCTCTTTATGTTTGTACTATAATTTTTGGCATGGTTCATTGTACACATATTTTAGTAACAGAGACCCTAATAGAGCCCCCTTCATATGGCACTAAAGACTTTGACTCAGCGAACCTCTCTCTCTCTTTCTCGCTCCCGCTCTCTAGCTGTGTGTCAGTCATATAGATAGTTTACATGTCATTTTCGGGGGCCTCATTCCTAGATCTATTTAGTTGTTGCCGTACCGCGCGTCGCGTTGTTTGTTCATTCTGTTCGATAATATATAGAAATATATAATATATTCTCTGTAGAGCTCTCAGTATTTGCGTTGACGTCAAATTGTTTTGTGCTTTGCAGTCGCTTATTTGTTTTTCTTTTTGTGTTTGCCAATTTTTACGCTGCTGTCCCCTCGAATGTCGCAAATTTCAGTTAATTAAGCTTAATTGAACCCTTTGCCTACAGTTTGACGGCGGCTGCACAGCCCAAGTCACCCACAATTTTTATGTCGCATTTTATTCAATTGAACTTTTCACTTGACTTTTTGTAAGCAGAAAGCATTGTGCATAAACAAATATATATGTAAAGAGCGCAGAATTCTGTTAATATTTAATCTAATTTTTCTAATTTGATAGTCTTCAGAGTTGACAATAGAAATGTTTCTCAACACTAGACATTTCGTTTCATTTGTTTAGTCTGACTAGTTTTTAATAAATATAAAATTTCCTTCTACAACATATCAAATCTACATAGCTAGCTTTCTATTTATTCATTTTGCAACACTGACAAGCCTTGCTTAATAGCTTCTAATTTACATTTACAACACTGTTCGATTAGAATGCAACGGAAACTGCAACAGTCAGCATCTGTATTGGCTATCAGTTACCCTGTATTCCACTTGCAACACAAATGCGCATCCGCCTTAAACATTTCTTATCGGCAGCTGAGCACACAAATGCCGAGTGATTTCTTATATGCACTGTGCATATAAATACATGCATATATAGAAGTGTGTATATATACATTCATTGATAATTACACTGAACAGCAGTTTCAGCAAACTTAAATCGCTGCAGTCAACAATTTGGTTTCACATAGCGACCAAAAATAGTTAATGAATGCAACGCCAACATGTTGTTGTTGGGGTGCCTGTTTCACAATTGGAAAACACTTGGGCGTATACTTAATATTTATGATATTTATATGGGCTAGGCATGCCTAATAGCACTGTGCAACAAACAATTGAAATCTAACATAAACTTAATTCTTTTGAATGTAATTTCTCTTCAGTCTAATTAGTTATGTAATAAAAGAGTTCTCAATAAAGTAAACATATCCGATGCTTGCACTTTGCAGACTCTTGTTATATGTTTAGTTTTATGATTTTGTTGCGCAGTGTAATTAAGTGTTGCCAGCCTACAGTGTGCGTCGTTTGCCGTCTTCTTCTTTGGCGCTGTCGAACAAAAAACAAATAAAACAGCCTCCGGCTGAGTTTGCAGTCGGTTGGGGCAAGCAAATGTGCAAAGACGACGCCCGACGCGCAAAGCCAACAAAAATTTGTTGAATTTTTGATGAGCGGAGTGCAACAGCATACGGGCAGGCAACAGCATATAGAGACATATAGAGACCCAGATCATGTATATATCATATATATGCAAATGTATTTGAAAAATCACATGGCTGATGTGCAGTTGGTGAATGAGCTGCTCCACGATTTGCGGCACATGAAAAGCGATTGTGTTAGTAGCGCATTAATGGAATTCATTTTATCGACTCGAAACTCCAATACAATAAATAAACAATTCAACTAACATTTCGCAATCTCTTGTGCCTCTTTCAGCTGGAGCTGCTGCAGCGCAAGGTGGACGATCTGTCAGATACGCAGAACATAGCCGAGGATCGCACGACGCGCACCAAGACTGAATATGCGGTGCTCCAGGCGCGCTATCACATGCTCGAGGAGCAGTACAGAGAGGTGAGTAGCTGCAACAGTTTGACAGTCACACAATTCTAAATCATAATTTTATTCATTAGTCGGAACTGCGAGCCGAGGAGCGTTTGGCCGAGGAGCAGAAGCGCCATCGCGAAATTTTGGCCCGTGTGGAACGCGAAGCCTCGCTGCAGAATGAGAATTGCCAGATGAAGATCAAAGCCACCGAAATCGAGGCGAATGCACTGCGCGATGAGGCGCAACGATTGCGTGTCTTGTGCGATAAACAGGCCAACGATTTGCATCGCACCGAGGAGCAGCTGGAGCTGGCACGCGATCAGATTGCCGCCCTGCAGCAGGAATACGATGAGCAATTGCAGACGGTGCGCCGGCACGAGCAGGAGAAAAAGTCCACCGAAGAGCTAATGCTCGAGCTGAGCCGCGAACTGCAGCGCGCCCGCGAGGAGAATGGGGCACGTGCCATGCCCACCACATCGCCGGAGAGCATAAGACTGGAGGAGCTGCATCAGGAGCTCGAGGAGATGCGCCAAAAGAATCGCTGTAAGTAGACCAGGACAGCCTTTTCCATTACACTTTACTCTACACGTTCGTTTTTTTGTTCAGCCCTCGAGGAGCAGAACGAGGAGCTGCAGGCAACCATGCTGGCGAATCAGGCCACCATGCTGACCAACGGCGTGGAGCAGGGTCGTCATCTGTTGAACGGCACCCTCAACAATCTGGCCCAGGAGCTGGAGGAGATGTCACAAGCTCAGGTTTGTAATGCCATGCACAAATATGCACACTATTCCCCATGCTTTGCTCTATTGCTATTCTTATGCCGCGATCCACGCCCACAAAACAAATTTGTCAAACACACCGCCCACGCACAGTCATGCTTTTTTTAGTCGCACAGTTTGAGAGTCCCGCTGCATACACACCTTGTGCCCGTTTCGCATTGCGTCGTTTGTTTACATCATATATATATATATTTATATTGTATTTATTGTATTACAGGATTCTGTGGATTCAGCCACATTAGCATCCTTAAGTCAGGTAATGCTTATTCACCAAGATAAAAACAAAAACTAAAACTAAAGCACAAAACCAAAGGCAACAAAAAAGTAAAATTACACAAAATCACGGTTTTGGAGCCGCTGTGCATGAGCTGTGTGCAGTTTGACAGCCACTGTTATTTGGTTGTGGTTCACGTTTATTTCTTATTTCTTTTCGGCATTTAACTCTTACGAAAATTTTAAATCTTTTCTGTTGGTTTCATTGGGTGCTTAACAACAACATTTTCAAGATCATCAAAGTTCATAACATTCATGTTGTATATAAAAGTGTAAATATATAAGGTGTCATTCATGCCTGTCTTTGTGTTGGATGCTCTTCGCGGATTAAAAGTGTATTTAATTGATCGGTTTCCAATCAACTTACAGCTGCAACAGGCCTTCCAGGAAAAGGAGGATGAGAATGTGCGCCTAAAGCATTACATCGATACGATCCTATTGAACATTGTGGAGAACTATCCCCAGCTGCTCGAAGTCAAGCCCATGGAGCGCAAATAGAAGAACGCAAAAAAAAAAAGAACAACAATATTTAATAATAAAACTAAACCCAGATACTGCGGTAACTGGACCACCTAAACTAAACTCAAAAGAAAACAAAACAAAACAAAAAAGAAAAGATCAGCAAGCAAAACTAACTAATGAACTACTTTAAAATACATTTTAAGCCCTCCCCCCCCAATATATATTTATGTATACAGTTTAAGTCGTAATTTATTTTATAACAATTTATTGTAGTTTTTAAACCGAACAACACAAGTGAACAGAACTACAAATTTATGTGAAATTAGTTTAACATTTTGTTATTCATATTATATTTCTTTGTCAAACTTTTTAACCAATCGTTATGTATAAAAAAATTTCATGTTTGTAAAATAGAAACTAAACCAATATTGTCAAAAAAACAAAACAAAAGAAAAGGAAACACGTTTAACCCAGCAAATTGTTTATAGTTTTTGTAGTGTTGTTGAGCCCTGAAGATATTAACTGTAACAATTATTAGCTAATAAGATTATACACCTTTTAAAACAAACAATATTTATTAATATACAAGAAATAATTATAACCATGTATATGATGTGTATATGAGTAGGCATAGAGACAGGTCCGAGTACCGTTAAAATGTTTGATATATCTATATATATTTAAATATGATTTCAACTTTGTTAAATATAGTTTAGTACTGGGAAGCACTTGGGAAACTTGTGTTCGTTTAAAAACGTTTTACTCTCTTGCTTTCTTTATATGTATGAAGTGTGTTTTAAATTCCGTAGCAAAATCTGCTACAATTAATTTCTTTTATGTTCTCCTCTTCCTCCTAATCTGTTTAGTATGCCTTCATTATATTCTATATTCTCTTTTCTTTCGAAAGACTTTTGTGCTAATCATTTTCCCAAGCGCCTTAAGCTGCCCAGATACTAATACAGATCGATGAAGAACCTATCAAAAATTTGCGTTTATGGTATGGACAATCCCCAGGATATGTAGTCGGAGTTTTAGTTTAAACTTGATCTAAGAGAAGGCAAGGAAAGTTTTAGGTCGAACGCAAAAATGATAATATTTAAACAGAAAGAAAAACTAATCTTATATAACTGAATTACGTACTAATGATACATATGTGTTTTGTAAACTTAATTAATGGACGTAATGTGCAAAGTTTTAGGGATCGCTAAGCAGTTCGATTAGAGTACATAGATCGTATTCGAGCTGTGGACGAGCCCTAATAGCGTAAACTTAAACTCAACGATAACTTAAAACGGAACTCAAAGTGGTCAACTCTCTTTTTATATATATATATATATACGTATATTAATAACACCAACTATCTATATCAAAACTAAATTTAACGATTTGCTAATCAAAATATTTGATGCCTTAAATGATTTTTAAAAGTTTTAAGAACCTAATTTGTATAATAGAAAGCAAGTTAGTGTTGGAAAAGGCACGATATGCGATCTGCTAAGCTTGTAGATAACACTAAAAAGTCCATTATATTTTAACTAAATATACATATGTAATACTATATCTGTGCCCCATAGCATATAATTTTAAATGTAATTTACACCAAGCAAGTGTATGAAATATTACTAAAAATAATAAAAAGAATTTTATAAAACATTTCAAAGAAATGAGCTAAGCATTTCTTTCAAATTAATCAAGTGCCAGAAACGCACCCGTAAAAAATATAAATAATCATAATTGCTGGATGAGGATGAGGAAAGCTTTGTCAAAACAGGTTCTGAAATATTACGTTAAGTCATCACAGCTGTTGGATTCGATTGAAAACGGGTTGGTAACTTCCGAAGTTCTCTCAAATCGTATAAAAGCCCCTGACAAGGCCCAGTTCAGGACACAGAAGTCCAACAAGTCGAAGTCGAAGATGATGGGAAAGGTGCTCCTTTTGGTATTGGCCACAGGTGAAAATTCAGCTGTAAATGTGTCGGATGCATCCAGTCTCACTTGATATCTTATATGTCTTCGTAGTGCTGCTGTGTTCCGCATTTGTCACAGCGCAGGTGAAGCCAAGTGCAGAGATCGGTCGGGTTACTGTCCAAGTGCCGTTGCTGTCAAATGGAAAGCCCGTTATGACTCAGGATAAGGATAAGGTGGAGGTGGCGCATGTGGTGGAACTGAAGCCGGGCAAGGTGGTAGGCGAGGAGGTGCTGGTGCCGCCCACAGTTAAGGTGCCGCCGGCCAAGGTGCGAAATATGAGAGCTATTGTCGAAACGGTGAATCCTGGAGTACCCAATCATGGTATACCCAATCCTGGCGTACCAAATCATGTTATACCTAACCCGGGAGTCGAGAACGACGGCTTGCCCAATTCTGGCGTACCAAATCATGGCATACCCAAGCCAGGTGTCCCCAATGTAGGTATCCCCAATCCAGGTATTCCCCATCCAGGAAATCCAAATACCAGCACACAAAGCGCCACCTCGGAAGTTGAACCCGTTGTCGTTGCACCACCCAGCACCACGCATACACCAGATGTGTCGACCAAGCGCATGCCCTCCAAGAACTGTCATCAGCTGCTATTGGCTGGCACCACAGGCCCATCCGTGGCGGTACCAGTTCCTCCAACTCCCGTTGAGAACTGCGATAGGCTGTGCACCAAGTTTGAGCTGAATCCTATTTGCGCCCACAATGGCATCTGCATCCATGAGTTCCCCAATCAATGCATAATGGACACCTTCAATTGTAAACATCGCGATTTGTCCTTCCGTGCTGTGGATGAGGATGTCTGCCGCATGGGCTTATGCGCTCGTCGCTGCAAAGAGGAGGATCTTAAGATGTAAACTTGGTTGGTGCCTGAAACTTATTACAATTTCTGTCATAAAAATTATACATTTGATAATAAAGAATAAGAACAAATGCAATTGTAAAAGTATTTCTGGAAAATAGCAGAGAAGGCCGCTATTTTCTTTTAATTCGTACTCATGCTGGGGGTATTATAATTTTTTCACTAAATATATAAAGCAAAGAAAGCACTACGTATATATATTTTAGTTATTTATATTATACATAAATATTTGAATATATTATATGTATATATTGTTGTTTTTATATATAATACATTTCTATAATACTTACTCAACGGAGTCGATATAACCAAAATTCTTCTTAGATCTAATTTTTGGTGTATATATAGTATAGTATATATGCATATATATATATGTATGGTATATTAGAAAAGGACGTATTGGTCGCAAGCTGAGTTTTATATAATCAATTTGATATTTTTAATACTACGTAAGTATGCTGCTGACAAATGTGAAATATTTTAACAACATGGAACTATTCTATCATATAGGTCATAGAAAAACGATCGGTCATAATGGAGGCTTTATATGGAAAAATATATTTCTTCTATGAGAATCAGCAGTTACGAGCCTCACCATGGTCATATCTGTATAAATGACCTAACACATATGTCAATATTTTTTTTTTTTTTTTTATTTTTTAAATTGTTAAAAATCTTTAATTATTTTAAGGCTAAGCTTAGTTTTAAGCCCAATTATTCAAACTTATAATATTGCTTTAGAGAATCACATCTGTAAGACTATCTGTATTAATATGTCGAAATTTGAGTAAATGATTATTTTATTCAATTAATTTTAATTATACAATTAATTTAAAATATATTTGCATTATTATCATCATTATTTTTAATATTATAATTATTATTATAACTCTGCAGCCAACTTCCGAATAGCCCATGTTCTTCTCACAGCGTCAGACGCAGCTCCCGTTGCTCCGCCTTGCTGCAGAGGGGTTGATAGCCTTGGGTGCAGCGATAGTTCTCGACAATATTGAAGCGCTTGTGGGGATTGCGACAGTTGTAGGCGGCCATGGTGCAGCGACTGGTGAACATTTGCAGGCACTGCCCATTGTGGGCGCAGACCTCGATATCGTGATCGGTGCAGGCGAAGTCGCACCTATCGGGCACCGGATGGATCGTCTCATCCAGCCAGACCATTTGCCCATGCTGGTTGACCGCCGGTAGGTGGCTCCGCTGTACGGGCAGCACAGTGGCGCTCGCAGCGGCGGCGGCAATGGCAAAGCAAACTAGAGCGGAAGAAAGACATAATTACAGTTTGAGTAGCTAAGGCAGTGCCTGTCAAACTTACAGAGGCAGAGCAGCGAATGTTTCATGTTTTTAGGCTATCCGGACTCGGTTGTTGTTGTTGTTGTTACCTTGCTGCATGTGCAGCAACTGTTCAACTGTTATTTCTGCAGCTTGCCACAAATGTTTTTATAACTGAATTTTGCCACATTGGCAACTAACAAATTTACAGCTTTCTGCTTTTGTTGCTGTTGGCCATAATCCTTTATTTTAACACCTGACAAAAATATGCAAAACTGAAATATCATCGTGATTAGCATTGGGCCTGTCATTTGTTCGTCGTCTGCCTGCCAAAAATAAAATCTTTTGTTTTTCCTGTTTTGGTGTGGAGCGGAGCGGGCGGAGTTCCCGTGGGAAATTTGCATTTGTTTCTTTTGTGTACGCCAAATAATAACGTGCAGTTTATTTGCTTTTAAAATTTAATTTATTCAGTTATTAAAACTAAAATGAATATTGGTTTTAAATGCGCTGTGTGAGGTTGTTTTTGTTGTTGTTTTTTTAAAGCAATTTCCGGGCTGTGAGGAATAAGCTTTGGGCTGAGCCTAAAAATATGTTACAGAAATCGGAATTAAACTCCTAAGTGTATGCCTTTTAATTTTTAATGTCTGCTCATCTCTTTTTGTTGTGTGGTGAAAAAAATTAATATAAATTTAATTAATTAATTAATTTAAATGTGCTCAAAAAATTGTTGTAATTCGTTTTCAATCATTTTATTATTAGCTTTACATTACTTTGTCGTCACACCCCAAACATTGATAAAAACAAGTTAAAATATCGTATATATATTCATAATATTGTATAAGGAAGCGATTAATGCAAAGCAGAGTTATATCAGACAATATTTTGCCCGGCCAGACGACCGTTCAGGCAGATCGAAACCAGTTCCTTTAGAGAGCGCCGAGTACAGAGACTGAGTACAGAATTTAAATTATCATAACAAGTGCATTAAGAAATAAAAATGCTTTTGACAAACCTTTGGTTAATTTCAAACACAATTGATCAGTTTGGGGATCGTATAAAAACTGGCGGCTGCCAACGAAAGCCGCACAGAACGTCGTCGAGCGTCGTGAAGTAAAAGTGAATCCCCATTGGAGTCTTGATATCGAGTGATCTTTGTGGATTCCAAGAGACAAGATGAGAGCTTTTATCATATTCGGTGAGTATTCTCTGGAAGATTATGAGAGACTTGGATATAACCGCCATCGTTCAATGCAGCCCTTCTCGCACTGGCGCACGCCGTGGAGTTGGACAAGCCGGAGCAGCAGTTGCCGCAGCCCATCGAGCTGCCGGCGCACATTCAAACCCTGATAACCAATCACATCAATCATGTGTTGGAGCAGAAGCCAAACGGGCAGGCCACCACGCTCAGCGGCCACGTGCCACAGGTTGCTGTTGGCAAGGGAAATGGGCATGGCGTTGCACAGGAGCATGCAGCGGCAGTTCCGCATTTGGATTTGCTGCCACCACACGTTGAGCAGCCGAAGGTGCCGCAGGTGATAAATCATCAGGCAACGGCCACATGGCAGCATGCGGCTCCTGTTGCGGGCTACAACAAAGTGGTGATGCCGCCGGTGTCGCAGATTGTGGTCTCAGTGCCCGGCCAAGCGCCGCTGGACATTGGCGACAAGGTCAACAAGATACAGCAGCACGTCAGCCATGTGATGCAACAGGCGCAGACGCACATACCCCAAGCCATCAATCAGTCGATCAAAGAGCACGAGAAGCTCCAGGCGCAAAAGGAGAACCAGCAAAGCAGCAGCACCACCAGCAGCACCACCAGCAGCACCACCACCACCACCAGCACCACAGCCCAGCCTAGCCACCGTACAGCGCGTTTGCTGACAGCCGATGAGCAAGTGCCTGAGCTGCTCGAGCAGCAACGCGAGCTGCAGAAACTGGGCAAATGCAACTTCCAGTGTCCAGAGAAATCGCTACCCGTCTGCGCCACCAATGACAAATGCGTCGTCGAGTTCCCAGGACAATGTGAGCTGAGCGAATGGAACTGCTTCAATACCAAGAACGGTGAGTTACTCGCGAGTCCTTACTGTCAGCTATACTAAATATTTTATATTTAATTTCTAGTATTCCGTCAAGTGCACGACGACGAGTGCAATAATACCATCAAGTGCTATGATCAAGATATGATGTAGAGAGAGCATCGGAGGGAAAGGGAGAGAGACAGAGGGAGAGAGAGAGAGAGACGTTTGTAAGCCGTTTTACAATTCTTAACTAACTATATAATTAATTAAATATATATACGTTTGATTAATAAGCTAAGTTAGAGTAAATTTATATTCTTGTCTGACTACTCTTGACTATTTCCTGCGAGGCTAAGCCTGAAATTTCTAGTTTTTAGGCCGAAAAGAAATTTTAGCTTTTTGTATGCATTCTCTAGGGTATAACAGCTAGGCAGACAGTTTGTGACTTCGTGTGGAATGCTGCTTAGCGCATATTTCAATTTATTTTAGCATCTATTTTTCAGCTCAAACTTTATATACTATACCTGAAAGACAGTTTATATAGATCTATTTAGATTTTTAATTTCCACTCAAATTTATTGTACTATAACTTGGAGTCAATTTAGATAGAGCATCTATTATGCTTATTAATTACTCATCAAACTTATCACCTGAAGTCAATTCAGATATAGCATCTATTTTGCTATTTTATATTTAGCTCAAACTTATTCAACTCTTACTTGATAAATTTAGATTTATCTGGATATATAATCTAATATGCTATTTTACTCTCTGCTCAAGCTTATTCTTCTATCAATTGGAGTCAATTTAGATAGAGCAATCAAAATTCGTACATTTGTCAGCTAAGCTATGCTGTTTAAGATTCCTTCAAAAATTCCTACATTTCTTTCAAATGTTTACGGCTGTTCTACTTTCAAACAGAGAGTAGCTAATAGTCGTCACCTTTCAACAAGAATATATTCACGTGTTTATCTCCATATAAAATTGTCTGCCTTCGAAAGTTGTATTAAGTGTTGTTCAGTTTGACAAGCAAGTTTGATAAGGCTTCGTACTTGTTTTGGTTTTGCATCCTAAAGATACTTTTGTGCTCAAATTTACGCTACACAAATAAGATTTTGGGCAACAAGCGCAGATTGAAATGCTGCTCATTACTCTTCAGATCAATTGGCAATCGGCAATTGGCAATCGTCACACTTGCCACACATTGCTCGCAATCCCAGGCAGACGGCAATCATCCAATTTGTCAAAATGGCTTATTAACGGATTTGGCCAAAGCCCAGAACGCACAGCGCACAAGCCAGGCCAAGTAAACGGCAATGCCAATGCGAATGCGAATGCCAATTGGGAGTTGAGCAATGGACCAGCCAGCTGCTCCACTTGAATGGAAATACTTTTTTTTGCGTTCTTGTTTTTTTTTTTTTTTGCTTTTTTGCCTGCTTATCAAATGTAGCCGCATGCAGAGACATGCAAAGACTTCGATAAATGACAGACGCCTCCTGGTTGGCCGCCTGTCAGCATTCATTCTCATTGCGATAGACGTTGCAGCTAGGATTTGGACTTGGTCACAGGCTGAGAGCGGGGCTGAGACTGGGGCTAAGAGTGGGGCTGAGACCTCGAGCTGCCATTAAAAAGCACTTTATGAATATGCGGCTGGCCAAAAAGAAATCGTTGCTTTTCGTTTGCATGCACTTGCATCAAATTTGCATATCCAGCGAAAGGGTATAACAGCTACGAGAGCACGGTTGTGACATCGTGTGGAGGATAGCAAAATACAAGCCATATGCTTTTTATACCCTTGTAGAGGGTATAATAGTATTGTCATGAGATGTGAACTCAAACTTTGCTTAGGTCCGTCATCCTGTTGCAGCCAGATCGGACACTATAAAATACATGGTTGCCCTAGGAACGATCGATCGAAAGATATTTTTCTCAAATTCTGACATATCTGTAATAAGACAAATGTCCTTGAGGGTTTCGCAGATATCCGTACTTTCTCATTTTATTCTTCAACCTTAACTTTAGCTTAGTTAGGGTATTTAAAATTCGTGCAAGTGGCAGCCATGCGCTATACGTTTCATGTTGGAACTGAGACGTCCACGCGCCTTTTGGGACCCATAAATTTCACATTTGCAGTTAGCTCGGGGAGCTGCCTGTCTGCTGCTCTGTTCTACAAATATTTGACTTAGTTTCGCTTCATCTGGCTGCTCGCTGCTCTCTTCTGCTGCTGCTGCTGCTGCTGCTGCTTCGGCTGCTGCGGCTGCCCGCTGCGTGTCTGCCACGCATGCGCCATCTTTAACAACGTCTCCCGGGGAGGCAGCAGCTGAAATAGTTGCAACAGCACCGAAAAGCTCCGTTAACTTTGCACGTTCCTTATCTCTGAATGTGTTAGCCGCCTGGTTGGCTGCTTTTACTTCTGGCGCGGCTTCTGGACCGACCTGGACTGGACCGCAACTGCTTGCGCTTAATGCCAAATGCGTGAGCTGTGGGCCGTGCCGCAGTTTTGATAGCTGACTCTGGCAGCGGCGGAAATGCAATTAACACTTTGGGCCATAATTGCGTGCCAAATGCATTTGCCTTGGCCTCTCCGACTGAGCGCAATCTGGTTTTGGCCTGGACTAAACCCCTCAGGGAAATCGCGGCTGCTGCATTGCTCGTGTTTTGATTTGCTTGGCTCATTTGCAAGCAACATGGCCATTAATCAGGTTGGCAATGCCTTCTAGCTTATGTATTCTCCGATGAAAGTAACTAATTTCAAAGCATATGTTCTTATTAGATTGTCACATAGCATAACTTGGTCAAAGCCAAGCTCATTTGCCTGGCTCAAATGTTCTCGAGACTCAGCTGCAGTCTTAAGCGTCTCAGTCTTTTACAATTTGTTAAGATATGACAATTTCTTTAATGGAAAGTCAGTCTTTTTTTAAGAGAGTTTTCACTCGACAAGACTGGATTTCTTTAGCATTGTTTCCAAAATATATTTTAATAAAATCAAACGTCTTCTACTATACTACTATACTATTTTCCTTATACGTGTCTAACAATTATGTACTTAG